CCGGTGTCTGGGGAGTGTCCGGTCCCGAGCCAGAACCAGTCCGCCGCCGTCCGCGGCTTCCCCAAGTCAGCCGGCAGTTAATGTGGCAAGCCGAAAGGACGTTAATGTGGCAAACCCGAAGGACGTTAATGTGGCAAGCCCAACGGACGATAATGTGGTAAAGCTCGCTCCAGTGTCGGCTCCAGCCCCAAGGCTCGCTCCAGTGTCGGCTCCTGCCCCAAGGCTCCCTCCAGTGTCGGCTCCAGCCCCAGGGCTCGCGCCAGTGTCGGCTCCAGCCCCAGAGCTCGCTCCAGTGTCGGCTCCAGCCCGAGAGCTCGCTCCAGTATCGGCTCCAGCCCCAGAGCTCGCTCCAGTGTCGGCTCCAGCCCCAGAGCTCGCTCCAGTGTCGGCTCCAGCCCCAGAGCTCGCTCCAGTGTCGGCTCCAGCCCCAGAGCTCGCTCCAGTGTCGGCTCCAGCCCCAGAGCTCGCTCCAGTGTCGGCTCCAGCCCCAGAGCTCGCTCCAGTGTCGGCTCCAGCCCCAGAGCTCGCATATTCTAATTTGTTGAAATAGTGAATTGGTGGGTTTTTGTTAAATGTGAGCCAAAATCATCACAATTAAAAGAACCAAAGACTTAAACTACTTCAGTCTGTGTTCATTGAATTTATTTAATACACGAGTTTCACAATTTGAGTTGAATTACTGAAATAAATGAACTTTTCCACGACATTCTAATTTATTGAGATGAACCTGTACAATGTCTGACACATGACTTGAAATAATTCACACCGTTTTTCTCACTCAATATCTAAGTGTAACACATCTGTAGAAGACATGCACTTTTGATATTCTCTCTGTCTCAGTTGTTAGTCCAGGGAGACTCGTCCTCTAAAACAGCCTCATTAGAACCTAATCATAGTAGCTGCACATGAAGATTTTGTTTGCTTGGTTTACACATTTTTATACGTAGGTTGTGATCACAAGCAGATGGCAACTGTAGATAAACACGTTGGTGTGAAGCTTTATCTGGAAGACATTTCTTCTGCTGCTCAATTTGCAGGTAGTTTGCATTGTTGGATTAATTCAGCACACAGCAAAATTCTCATCTTTATCTGCTTTAAATGATATCAATCCAAAATGAGTATTAAATCTTATCCAATCAGAAATTATCCTTGTGGTTTGAGGCAGGAATATCTGGTTTCAGTAAAGTTGTAATGCATGTAGAGGACATGAAGTCATGTCTTTTAAAACTTTAATTTTTCTAACTTTGCAAGGTCTCAGATTCCCACAGGTATATAAAAAACCTGAAGTCTTGTAATTCCCAGACATATTCTGCTCTGACTGGCTTTACTGTTTTTTTATATTTGAGGTCCTTGAGACACCAGTGATGTATAAGTAATTTGAAATTAACTTATTTTCCCTTTAGATTGGTCTGACCTAAACAAAACCTTGGAAGCAGAAATCTACTGAGTGGCAAGGTTTGTGTTTAACTGGTTTTCGGGGGAAATAAACGTCACTTTGGTTTTTACAGTGTGAACAATTCATGAATCTTAGTTTGTGAAGATTCATTGCATTTACAAGTTATGTAACTTTTTTTATTATTAAGGATATTTGCAGCATTATTCATAGTCAGTTTTTAATTATATTAGGAAAAGACATGAAGTATCCACCTGAAAATGTATTGTCAAGCATTTTTAGCTGCAATATTACTGGGGTCTCTGAGTCCCTTTACAAAACATGAGCGTTAAAACATATGAACCTGCCACCTTAATGTTTTTCATTTGCCAAATGCAAATGCTTACATTATGCATTTGGCAGAAACTTTATTCAAGGCAACTTGTTTATTTTGTGTCTTAGAAATTGGACCCAGAGTCTTGATGTTGAACAGTTGAGCTTCAGGAAGTCAAGAAAAGATCTAAGAAAGAATACGCAGTAAACAATCACAATCCGTAGAACACATGAACACCTAGGAATCTACTGAACTAAAACTAATTTATATTAGTAGTAGTAGTAGTAGTATTGTTAATATTAAACATTTTTGTCAAGGGTTTCCCTTAGATTACAAGAATATTTAAAATATTTTTTTATAACGTTGTCAGCCGTGGGAAAGAAAAGGGACAGATACTCTTGCAGATACAAAGGACACTGCAACATATACGGCAGAATAATTTATTCCTCCCTTTTGCATTCGATTCCCCAAGATGGCATGAAGAAAGATAGCATCTCCTTTTTTATCGCTCTAATGACCTAAAAGTGCCATCATACGTGGCTCCATTACTAGTGACAAGTGTAAATTACACTGTCAGTTTTCTCATTGTTAAAGATCACGCTATCCATTTTATTAAAGGCATCACCTACCAGCCATTTCAGAAGCCACTGAAAACATTCACATTTTGATGTCTTCACATCTGTCCAACTCTGCAAGTACTGCACACTATTTTTAAAATTCCAGAGTTCAGGAACCACAAGCTCAACAGTGACATTTTTCGCTCAAGTAATAACCTATACTTTCTACAATTTTCTGCTTCTTCTATTTTGTTTGTCATTTGTTTATTTTGCTCATTTGTGTTCGGAGAATACAGAGAATCTTTGAATGTGGTGTCATAAATGTTTTACATCAAGAGTTGACCCTGTCTACCACTGCGTGATTTTATTTGTCTCAAGCTTCAAATCCAAGTAGATGAGGAATGAGTGATGAAAGATCTCAGTCTTTCAGGCTCTGGATCTTGTCACGAGTTGTCAGTTGATTTTATGCTGACAAGAGTTTGCTGTAAATAAACATGTTTGTCTGTGTGTTTCTTATAGACTTGCCATATTCGCACTATTCAAAATTCGGCATATTTCTCTCAGCGCGCAGCTGGTGCCGCCGAGGTGCCATCTGTCCCAAATTACAGAGTATCTTCCTGAATGTCTTGTATCAGCTTTTGTCATGTATCAGGAGTTGACTTCACAGAGTCGAGGCTCTTTCTCCTCAAAGCAGGCTTCAGGTTAACACATGCACATCTTTCAAATTCAAATGTCATATAAGCTGCTCTAAAATGCACAGCTCCATAAATACCACCATTTCCCAGAGCTATGGTTTAGTCATATAGTATACACTGTATATATATATATATAGCTTACAGAGCTTTTCTACTTTATTTCATTGGTGAATCCACGGGTTAAATTAGGCCATAGAGATCTGGAACGTCCTTGTGGCACTTTTCTTGTAATAACAGAATAAATACATATGGCCGGGGTTTTTTTATTTATTTTTTATTTTTTTTCATTTAGTTTTTTGTCAGTGAGAAAAGCATTGAATAGACATTACAGAAAGTAGCTTCAGAAAAAAAATTATTTATGTTAGAATTTATTGCACAAACATTTAAGGCTACAACATAGCAATAACATTGTTTTTCACAAGCTGAATACATTTGCACTGCAATTTAAATTGCATAAATAATGATAATAAATGGGTATTCATTTTTTACATAAATATTGTAATATGACATAATAAAAAAATGAAATGATACTTAAATGATAATTAAAAAATGAAATTATACTTTCAATATGAAACAACCCCCCCCATTAGATGTGTAATTTCTCCACATTACAAATTGAATCACTGAAATGTATCTCTCAAATAGCAGAGAAAGGCATGAAGTTATGCATTTGTACTGATTGGATTGTGTGATCTGCTCATGAACAGATCAATTGTAAAAGCCCTCCAAGGCACTTGTGAGATCTGAGCAATCTGACCACCACAAGAGGTGCTTTAATAGCATTTTCTTCACTCTGAGTCTGTATATAGTTTTTGTTCTTTCCATGACATAACATTCTCTCTTCCTTTACCTAAGATGTACAGTTTTTTCCCCTCTGGACTGTATCTGTCTCCTGGTGCACTTTTGCTGTTATAGTGCCACAAATCTTATTTAGAGCAAGATGAAGGTGCATGTCTCATCCGATGCATGGAAGCTGCGAATAACTCCATTTATCTTCTTCCCCCAACCACTGAAGAGCGCCAGTGCAGAGGCTGTCCCTGTCTAATGGCTCTGGAGATAACACCTGGCTCCAGCAGTGGCTGACACTTCTGCTTTTCCCCACAAGAAAGAGGCAACGGGAGAGAGGAAATCAAAGGAGTGATTATCACATGCTGTTGTTGTAGGAAGCACTATTGACGGTTCAATCATCATATTTATCAGTCTGTGTGTTCACCAGGAATCCATTCAGTCCTGCATTCAGCATGGAATTGTGTGAGTTTGTAATTTTTTCAGAGCGAATTCAATAAGCAGGTGCACCGCTTTAGTAAACAGTTTTTCAGCACAAATAACCACTAACCACACACAATCCAGCACAACTAGGCATGTTTAAATTAAGAAATTGTTCATGAAACAAGAGCTGATTTTATTCAATTACTCGTTTATTTATTTGTTTTTATTTTATTCTTATTTATTTTTCTTTCCTTATTATTATTATTTCTTCAAAATTTGAGTTATTTTGAGGGGTTATTAGGGTGGGGGGAAGATTTGTGGGAGAGATTAATATGGACAGTTTCCTGTGGTTTACTGCTTTTTTTTATGATGTGTTGTTCTGCTTCGTTTCTGATTTGAAATAATAATGAAACATGAGCTGTATTAATTTCTGTGTAAAATATACACTAATGTTCAGACATCTGTGGTCAGTAAGATTTTTTAATGCTTTTATTCAGCAAGGATGCATTAAACTGAACTGACAGTAAAGACCTTTACAATGTTACTAAAGGTTTCTGCTTCAAATAAGTGCTGTCCTTTTGAACTTTCTATTTGTCAAAGAATTCTGAAAAAAAAAAAAAAAATGTTTCTTGAGCAGCAAATCAGCATATACAAATGATTTCTGAAGGATCATGTGACACTGAAGACTGGAGTAATGATGCTGAAAATTCAGCTTTGTCATCACAGGAATAAATTACATTTTGAAAATAATTATTTTACAATATTACTGTTTTATTGTATTTTTGATCAAATAAATGCATCCTTGTTGTGCATAAGAGAACAATTCTCAAAACATGAACGATAGTATATGTAAAACATTCTTATTAAATTTGTGAGTTTTGTGTAATTTTTAAATTTTGGAAGTTTATTTTGCTAATTTTCCAAATCCCATTATCATTTAAGCATTCACTTTTCATGTTAATTAGACTTCTATTGATTATGTCTTGTTCACAAAAGTGAACACTATTTGCAAGCAGCATTAATGTAATAATTAAATCATGATTAACCATGATTGTTGATATCTAGATAATCGCCCCATTCGCCAACATGCTGTACAAGGCAGACAGTGCATCTATAAAAATCATTTTCCAGTGAATTCTCCCTTAGTGTTGAAATGCAGTAAAAGTGTGGTCCTTACAGTGTCAGTTTAAACAAGTTAATTGTAGGATCTCTTGAATTCACAGTGCTGTCACAGTTAATTCTCGCTGTCTGACAGAGATTTAGATTGTAAGTAATTATTGTAAGGGAAACAGGTCAATTTAGCTCAAAGGGAATCATTTAAGATTTTAAAGGGAACTCCACCAATAATATGTAAGGGAATTTGGACAGAATCACTGTTTTACGGCTGATCACTGAGACGGCCAGCGATTCAGTGAACGAGCCGTATGACATCAATTCTGCAATGGATATTTATATCCAAAATATAGTGAAAACACTAGTAATTAGCACAGTAACAAGATCGGCAGTTTAAGACATTAACTTGTAAGCACAAAACACAAGATACTTCTCTTTTCAATATAAATAAGGCTTTATTGGATAAATCTAAGACATATAAACTAATCTAACACATAAACACACGCATTCACACAAGTTGCAGAAAGACAGAAAGTGAGCCAAATCTTAGATTGTCTGATTCGGTCTGATATCCTACATTATTTAGAGGAACACATCAGCGTGACAGACGATCTTCATCTTAATCTCACTGCTGTCATGGAAATCTGCCCACTTACATTTCGGTCTGATAAAGTTCTTTCTCTCATTCAAAATACACTTGCAGTTTTTCACATTTAGCAGCTGATAGATGCTCATCATCTCCTGAAGAGGCTCAGTG